GTCCTTCAATAAAATTGTTCTCAACAGCCACAATATCTCACATTTACCCTCCTACTGTACCAAAGTATTCATAATCATGAGCAATGTATGCAGCTGAAAGCTTATTGGCTTCAACAGAAGTAAGGAAATTGCAACTTGTTTTAGTCCTTGATAATTTACTGTGATAGACTAATTCTTTAACAGGATGGAAGAGTGAAATATTAGCTTGTAACAAAGAAACACCTTAAAAGCATAGCACAGTACAGATCTAGTGAACATAACCTGCTAAATGGCATCACTGTCTGTTTGCACTGTCTATTTACTTCTCAGTTTCTTTAGTTAGAATTATTAGATTCTTCACCTCACCTACAGTATAACCACAAACATACAGGAAACACCTCACATATAGGAAAACATAATTATTTCTGAAGATCTGTGATTGTATGCTTTATTAACTTTCTAAAATAGAGCAAGAGTTTAGTGTTACTTCTGGCTAAAAAAACAGTATACAGTAGCTGTGTATCACTGTTCCAGGTAACAGCAAAGAAAGTGAAAGTGATCCATAATAAGTCATCAATATACATACTGTATATTTGCAACTCTGCTAAGGTTGCTGTTAAGAAACTGTGTACTCTCATACAAAGTGTATTTGTTATATTTATTGTAGTAAGACTGCATCAGAAGAGGCCTAGAGACCTGTAGCTCTGCCTTAAGTCACATAAAGTTACTAATGCTTTTTGTAGAGTTTGGCTTTTTAATCTCTTTCTGCAGAGAGAATTCAGTGGGAGAAACTCCTCATGTGGAAATCCCTTACTTATTCGTTTAAAAAGTTAAAAAAGCAGCTCAGCTAGAACTATTTCTAGGAAATAAGAGATAAAGCTCCAGTGGTTCATAATGCCTGCTGCCACCGTGTCACTGTGATGCATGAAAGGCCGAATCTCTTTATGGTTAGGCATCCCTGCCAAAAAAGCACCAAAAAAGAGTTGATAGATGAGGATTCTGTCAGGTTGGCAGTGGTGGACTGAGAAAGGGTGTAGTTCTCCTAAACACTGGGTACTGGCAGAGAAAGAGTAAAGAAGATTGTCTACAGCCGTCCTTATAATCTGTATGAGAGAAAAGAAACCTTGACAGAGGACTGGTGGAGTGGAAGAAAGCTTTTCACTTTCTATCCCAAAAGGCCATGGTTGTAAATGGCCCCTAAGAGCATCTTTTAAATGGATGGTCTGAGAAAGTTAGGGCAAGCTGAAAAATGTCCCAGATCTGGAATAATACTGTCCACAGTAGAAAGTGGCACGGAGAACTTAATCATGAGAATAGCAATATTATAATGCGACTGGTGGAGATACGTCGATAACAGTGACAGGTACAGTAGATAAAGCAGAAAAGGGCTTGGGCAAAGTGAGAGACATTCAAGACAGCCGTGCAGCCTAGAGAACACTGGCTAGGTTTAATACAATATGTTTTAGAGAGCACAAAAAGGAAAAGCTAAGAGCTCTTGGGACAGGATGTAGTCTCCTGGTGAGTTAGTGGTTTGTTAAAACTTTAACCTCAGGTCAAGCAAGTTGAAAATTCAGACCACAAGTCACTAATGAATAGATGTTTTAAAATTCTGAAAAAACAGATGACAATACTGGGTCATCTTATCAACTTATAAATAAAAAAAGGTTTCCTGAACTGGAAGACTGAAATGAGAATGTAGGTGTTAGTTTTAAACGTTTTATGTCCTTAGAACAACATATTAGAAATCCCACTAAGGTATCTTTTCTTTACCTACAAAACATCGACAAGATCAAATATATTCTCTGGCAGTCATTGTGGGACTAATCCATGTTTTTGTGATATCAAGGATAGATAATCATAATGTACTGTACTTTCCTCTGATACCGCTAGTCCTTTGATTTCATGATTGTATCTTGTAAAAATGTTTTTTAGTTCATGTATTTTAACAACCATGACATTTGAACATATTATCAATGCATTGGGACACATCTGGTGGTCTCCAGTCAAGTTCAGTATGTATTAAAAAATACTGTTTATGATATATGAAGCTCTACATGATTTCTAGTGTTGAAACAGTTACACTGTTAAAATAATAAAAACAGTTAAAATAATATACAATATTAACAAAATTACAATACACCATTACAAATTTCTTAAGTGCCTTTCTGCAGATAAAAGTTGAAAAATAATTTCAGTGCTTTATATCTTCTCTGAGAAGGATCATATTTCAACTTTCATTGCTGGAAATTGGTTACTAATCAATAATCAGAGAAGCCTTAAAACTAAAAATCAATAAGAGCCCAGAAGAGAGTCTTCTCTATTAGAAAGCGAAAGCAAAACTTATAGAGTTAAATAAACATTTTAACCAGTATTCCCTGTTTATGTCTGCAATTGATACTTGTAAAAGAAAAACATCACCCTAGTGTCTTTTTAGAGAAGAGTGAGTTACTTACAATGATTTGACTGTGAAAAATAAACTGTCTCATATGAATAATAAAATACAGAAGAAAACCCGCAACACAAATTTAAAAGTAAAAAATGAAGATAATGTTCACAACCATTACCAATCGTTCAATTGCTCTTCACCAAAATGTATTAAAAGGCAGCTTTAGAGGCATGTCTTAATACTTCCAGTTTGTTCTTCTGGTTAGGTTAGGTTATATTCATATCAAGTATCAAGTAAGGCTACCCAGGTAACCTGAAAAGCACACCAAAGAGAGCTATACATGGTAAAATTCACTGTCTTCTCTTCTGAAGAGCACACAATGCTTAATCTACAAGGAAAAAGAAAATTAGCACTCATCACTACCATCTCCATAAGTCTTTAACCTATCCTGCTGGGAAAGATACCCAGACTTTTGAGCAGTACGACCTAATTAAAAGCCAGTAAATAAACCCCTAATGAGCCACTGTAGGTGCTCAGCACTGCCTCCACAGACCTGCACCTGTGCCTTGTCAGATCCCTCCCAGTTCACAGGACCAAACAAAGCAAAACACCGCTTTGCTCTGCTGTAAATCAAGCCTTTGCCTATATTACCCCGCTTAGCATAGCAGTACTAAAATGTTGTTCCAACATCTCTAACATCCTCTTCTACATATTATTAATACTTAATATATATGAACATATAGTAATATAATCAATTTACATATGCATACACTATGTATCAATTGTAAATGTATCCAGTGTCTGGCTATTGTCCAATGTTATTGTTATCATCATCATTATTATTATTATTAAATCTTTCTAAAGATTAAAGCAATGAGCATGAAATGTTGGATATTCACCTACAGATTCATTTCCTGATTTAATATACTGTACAAAATAAGTTATGTTTTATTATGTAATTATAATATTGTAAAGTAAAAAGTAGTAGGAAAAGTCAGATGGCCTTGTTTTTAAGTGGGTTCTCATTCAGTAAGCCCATTTAGTAAGTCATTCTTTCTTCCTACTTATTCTTTGTTTCCCTAAGCTTTTGAAATCACCAAACTCTCTTCATACATTTTTTTAAAAAGGAGATTACTTTATGGTTTTCCTTTTAAACAAGTGTCGGAGAACAAAAACAATTTAAATCTGAATTTTTTAACCTTGGCAAATGTCTTGTGGGAAAACACTGCACAGAAAATGACTAATTAAGCATCAGTAAGGATAGACTGCTTAAGTGCAACAGAACTGCTAATTTGTAACAGCATTTAAAAATCACACAAAGGTCAACTTTAGGATTTCTTTAACATAGCATGCAGATTTTGTAAGGTGCTTTATAAAACCAAATAGGTTTAATCCCATAAAAGACTACTATATTATTTCAAGACAGAAACATACTCCTACTGTATATGTCTCACATTCCTTCTGATTTTGTCAGGTAGTACTGCAATTTACTGTATAATGACTGCATTTTCTAATTATTATATATTATATTCATCTTTATAAATACTCTGAAATAATGTGGCACCACAATGAACGACAACTTTGAGCTTCTATAGGACCCTGATCTGGACTTTGAATAATGATCTTATAAAACCAAAGTGTTATTTATAATAAGTAAATAACTATAAATGACATTAAAATGAGCCTTTCTACATTAACTGTGGATGAGATCTGTACAAATCCAGCCCCTTAAAGATTTCAGCTTTAACTATTAAAATAAAGCGCCTTTATAGGAGAAACACAGCATTTCCAACATAAAAGAAAACATTAACCTCTCAAGACAAGTTGGTGGTAAAGAGAAAACTCATTATACAGTTTCATGAGGAGATTTGTTCTGTTTATAACTGATTACAGCATAGCATATAATTTTCCTATAGTGAAGAGATTATAGAGGTAATTTGCCAGGAAAACATTAATCTATACCTAAAACAGCAGCTTCTGAAGGGTATTTGCACAATTGAACATTATCGACAAAAATAAGCAAATAGTCAATTTTCACATGTATGTGATCCAGATTCTGTGATGGTCAGTGTTTCCATACTGTATCTTGTGAAGTTAACATTAGGATCTTTTTTGAAGTTGTAAAAATATATGAATAGGACCCATTCATTCTACAGTTTCTCCCCCATTTTGAGAACAGGTTAAAATGTCCATTTATTATTTTTTACTTAACACTTATCCATCTTCATGCATTTGAAATAGGTTTTCCAGAAGTAACATGCTTCAATTGCGATTGATGGTTTGGAGAATAAGTTAGTAAACTTCCCTTTCCATCTGTTTTCTTTAGTAATCAGTCTCAGATCAGTGCTTCAAAGATCCAGCCTCTTTCCTTTTTTACTGCTAAAGGCAGGGGTAGTAATGTCAGTAATTTGTAACAATCACCAGAAAGTTTTATCGTTCAGATATTGAGAACAGTATCACAAAGATGATGATGGTTTGAAAGGATAACATGGATTGCAGCAGTTTGATTTTTTGTTCCATAGATTCTTCAGTTGATTCTTTTGTAGTCCTTGTAAAGTGCATTGGTGACGTTTCTATCCACAGTTCAAAAAAGCATTTCGAGTGTACTTGGATAGCTTCACTGTGGTTTTAATAGAAAAAAAAAAGCTTCATAGGGTAAGTCAGCTGTCAGGTAACCTTTATGGGTAATAAAAAGCAGGCTGAGGCACAATCAATCAGTGGATTTCTCTGTTGATTCACAATAACACACCACACACATGCATACACACACACAGACACACTCAAGGTTGCATATGACTCAGCACATGTGTCTGTGCCTGGATCTTAAATGGCGATGAATCTGCCGGAGATTAAAGGAGCCTTTCAGAGGCTCTGGTTGCCACATGACAGGATATTTGCAGCAGAGGCAAGGCAGGGAGGACATGTGCAGATGAAAACAGCATAGATTTTCCAATACATGTAACAAATCAATACTGTCTCCTTGAAACAAAGGCTGCACAGTACATTTCAGAGCTTCTCTCTCTCCCTTAAATGCAGCAGCATTTAAGACTTGTGGCAAGGAGCTCAGACAGGCTGGCTGCAAAAGAGTAGCTGCCTGAATCTCTTGGACATATACTTACAACTATATATACATATTCATATATATAGTTTTGTCTATGTCTGTATAAATTGAAAGTATGTTACATATGCACACGTTAGATAAGTCTGGTGTATGTATGGATGTGGATTTTATATACAATATGGTCCTGGAATGGTCAAAACAAACCTGACACAATGAAGTACTAATTTTGACCCAGGCAACAGCACAAAATAAAGAAATATTAAGGAAACAGTCTCTAATGTTTTCATAGAAGACAAGAATTTGTAAAGCTCTTACAATAACTTTGATTGTAATAGCTTTTTTGTTTGTTTTTTGTTGTGCTCAAAGTATCCAAAAACTATGGCTAGTGCTATGATACTGTTAGTACATTTATTAGCTTTGTCATTAGAATATAGTTGCAGTTAGCGGTGCCCAGTTTCCTGGGAGTGGATGTTTATCACTGTACAAGCCAGAAGATACAGTAATTTAAAGCCAAATCTTGCATTTAAGACAATGATAACAACATTTGCATTCGACAGTATATAATATAAGTCAAAGCTGTGTGTTAATATAATCACTTCTATGTATATATTTTTATACTGTATATGCACAAAATTATAGCTTTGGGTACTATAATTATGCAGCTTTAGAACGTGTGATAAATTTCTAATTTCCAATTGGAGAAATCCATAGGTCCATAGGCTGGAGTCCAGAAAGTGCAGTCTCATATAGTTTTGTTTTTGCTGTTTCTCCAAACAGATTTTTTCCTGTGGTCTTTTGGTATGATTATCCTTTTGTCACTTTTGGTTGTTTTGTATGAGATCCAGGTCCTTCTTAGCCTTTTGAGTTCCTATGGAAAGGTGCCAAAACTGGTTGCTTTCGTGTCTATGACTACATGCACACACTCAGATGCCATACCTGTAAAGTATGGGCTGCTCTGGTGAGCTGGACAGAACACCAGTGGAGGGTAAGGTTGGAAAGAAAAGTGCAATTACAGTTGTTTATCTTTTTCTACTTATCAAACAATTCCAGAAAATCTCATACACTCATATTTTTCTCTCAATGTTACTCAAACTCAAGAAGCACAAAGGGGTAACACCTTGGCTCCTTTTCCAGTCAAAAAGCTACCCAAAACACAAACACATCAGCCTTGATAGATACTGCGGCATTAGCTAGGAATTATAAAGTATTTTGGAATGAACTAGTATCACACAAGAAGGTTGGCATTTTTCTCCCCCACCAAAAGGTCTTTGCGTGCCTTTAGTTTACAATCAGAAATCTTCTCTTTGTAATATCAATGAGAAAAAAAGGCTATTCCTTATTTAAAAAGGAAAATACAGGTAATACAGTTTAGCAGATGAACAGAAGTTACATATCTACATGAAAATATAAGAGCTTACAGACCCTGTATAAGCAGTACACTTGGTTCTCTGGCCTTAAGAAGAAGCCACTTTAATATTTCAATGAAGGTGCTTGGCACAAATGGGGCATAGAGTTTATTCTAATAAAAATGACACTGAAGCAGAGTCTCCAAGCATTTAAGATGATAATTTCAATATTGCCCACAGAACTCTTACAGCAGTCTTTTTCATCTCAGCTAGTTTTCTAACAGCTGACTCCTGGTGAGGGTCACGGTGGTAACAGGCAGAGCAGGCCAGACCAGACATCTCTTCCCCCAGCAACAGTCTCCAGCTCCTCCTGGGGGACTCCCAGGCACTCCCAGACCAGAAGAGAGATATAATCCTTCCAGCATGTACTGGGTCTGCCCCTAGGTCTGTTCCCAGTGGGCCATGCCTGTTGCATCCCCAGCAGGAGGCAGTGGGGGACATCCGCACCAGATGCCCAGACCACCTGAATTGACTCCTTCCAATCCAGAGTTGCAGCAACTCTGCCCCATGGTCCTTCCATACTGCCGAGCTCCTCACCCTGTCACAGACAGTAAGCCCTGCAACATTTTTTAAAGGAACAGTAACTTCTTCTTTAGGAAAAGAATTGTGAGATACAGGAATATAAACAGCAATTAACATGTTGTTCTGAAACAAGATCTGTAAGCCCGTCCTGAAATGTATTGAAGAAAACTATCCAGCATTTCTAAAGAAATACATCGTATTTTGACCCATGTGTAAAAGCAATAAGACCAATCCGAATAAATCCAAGCTTAGCAGAATTTTAAGGGATAGGGTGAAGCTTACATCCAGACCATCAGATTTGTTTCACTTTTGTTTCTTTGAACAATTGGCAATGTTTTAGTCCCAAAAGAGAACTTATTATAAGCCTTCTAATGTCCTGATTTCTTTGACCATCTGGTATTCCACTACAGTAATTTTACCTGAGGCAAAATGACCAACCTTCAAGTGGATGAACCCTGAAAGTGACCTACAGTATCAGTGTTCCAAACAAAAACCATTAAATTAACCAGTAGCAAAAACTCACACAGCTATAAAAAGACACTTGTTTTTTTTATATATTGCACATAGCGTTAATATCTCACGCAGAAAAATATATATTGTTAGATATGTATTACCATTATTATTACTGGTTTTGTTTAAAATATTGTAAGTACTGAAATGCATGCCACAAAGAATGTTTCAGTCATGCAACATTGGAATAATAGAATAGCTGATTTTCTTAAAATGCGTTTAAGAGGAAGTATATTATTTTACAGGTTCCACCAAAGTATCTCCAGCATTTGAGAATGAACACAACTTAAGAAGAAAAAAAAAGATAAAAATAAATGAGCACACAAATCAAACTCAAATTAATGATACACATATCTGTTGGGCGGCAGTGAACTAATCTTTGGTGACCTGAAAAGTGAGCTAGGAATGTCATTTGCTTTTATTAAGTTGCAATGTCACAGTTAAATGTCAATATGGTTCTTCCAACCTACAGGAGCTCTAGTTATGAGAGTGTTGCATTATTAGAGCAGAAGCCCCTGGTAATATATCACATATGAATTTGGAATGCAAATAAATAGGGAAGGGAGGAGTTGTTGGAAGAAAAAAACGGATGGAATGATTCATCACCATGTAGCCATTTTAATTTGCTTCTTTTTCCCTCAGGTTTGCGTCTACATAATGCAGGGGAAAAGAGCCTTTTAGCTAACCTTTGTCACAAAATCAGGCACCAAGCACAGTTGAAATGCGGAGCCAGACAACGACAGACACATGAATAAACAAACAAATAAAAATGATAGACATTCATTACGCTTTCAATGTTTGCAAGCCTCCACTTCACTGAAAATCTAGCTCAGGAAAGTGAAGAGTGTCACACACTCCTTTGCTCTTCAGGCACAAATGAAAACAAATATGGCAGGAAATTATAGGGCAAATGATCAGGCTAGTTTTGATACTGATGTCAGCTGAAAATAGCATGTGTCACCCCTATGGGTAAATTACTCACAGGTGCCATTAAGTGTCCCTTACATAATGCTGATCACAGCATTCCTCAGATAATTCTGATAGGCTGCTGGAGGTTACAGCAAAATCGACTGTGATCTGTAGACTGTAAACTGTAAGCTCAACAGGATATTTTCCTTTTGTGTTTTTCATTATCTTGGGCCTTCCGTTTTGATGTACCCAAGAATGCAGGAAACAGTAAGAGAAAGCACACAATTGGTACTCTTTGGGGATGCAAAGAAATGCATTTTATCTTCAAGGACAGGGCACAAGAGGGGCGCAGAGGTTTGAGTGAGGTGTAGGAGAGCTGAGGGATGTTTGGGCTGGAGTCAGGATCCCTCTATGCTACTTTTTTGGCTACTGTTTGGCTACTGTTTCAAGCAGGACCACAACTACTGAACAGTCACACAGATAAGACTAACTCCATGCAGACACCAAAACTAGGATGCAGAATTAGAGGATCTGGGACATGGAGAATCGGAGGTGGGGAAAAGGGTGGGGAGGTTGAGGGGTTATGCGTTCCCTGCATACTCTCTGCTCACTTTTGAGATTCTCTTATCTCTTCCTGGATCCATGTCTTGGTTCCATATCCTCCAAAATTGGAGGCTGATCCCTTTCCACCCTTCCCAGCCCCCCACCCATGGCTAAATTATCCCAGCTGTTATACATCCGTGAGCATCTTGGTGATGTTGACGTAATTAGTGTTAGCCAGAGTACAGTTAGCTGTCTTGAGGTTCTCCTCTCTGAAGTCCTCATTGCTGTTATTTACTCCCTCTTGAATTTCCATGTAGTCTGACTTGCTGATGGTGGAGGCACTCCTGCTCTTCTTCAGCTCCTCAGAAGAAGGTATTTTTGGGACACTGGTCACCTGCAGATACTGGGCCTGCTCCTCACCCTCCGTCTCTCGGTGGTAGAAGTAGTTGAAGTTGGACACGATGACAGGCACAGGCAGGGCAATGGTCAGTACACCAGCAATGGCACAGAGTGACCCCACAATCTTGCCTCCAATGGTAGTGGGAACCATGTCACCATATCCTACTGTTGTCATGGACACCACAGCCCACCAGAACGCATCAGGGATACTAATGAACTGAGATGCCTCCTCATCTGCTTCAGCAAAGTAGACAGCACTTGAGAAGAGGATGACTCCAATGAAAAGGAAGAAGATAAGTAGTCCAAGCTCTCTCATGCTGGCCTTCAGGGTCTGTCCCAAGATTTGCAACCCCTTGGAGTGTCTGGACAGTTTAAAGATACGGAAAACCCGGACCAGTCTGATGACCCTCAAAATGGCCAGTGACATTGCTTGCTGACCTTGCTGGCCATCTTCAGGCTTCTCAGCCAGCTCTGTTCCCAATGTGATGAAATAGGGAATGATGGCCACAATGTCTATTATGTTCATGATATTGACAAAGAAGCCTGCTTTGCTTGGGCAGGCAAAGAACCGTACCAGGAACTCAAAAGAGAACCAGATTATGCACAAGGTCTCCAGAATAAAGAATGGATCAGTAAATGAGGTGGACTGATAACTGGAGGTACTGTTTGAGTATGGCTGGTAGATGTTTTTTCGCATGTCTTCCTCTTCATTGCGAAAAATAGGCAGGGTCTCCAAGCAGAAGCTGACAATGGAGATGAGGATGACCATTACAGAGATGATGGCGATAATCCTGGCTGGCCCTGAACTTTCAGGATATTCAAAGAGCAGCCACACTTGCCGCTGGAACTCATTCTCAGGAAGCGGTCTTTCTTCTTCTTTGATAAAGCCCTCATCTTCCCTAAATATCTCAATGGCCTCTTCCCCTAACTCATAAAAACGGATCTCCTCTGAGAAAATGTCCAGGGTCACATTGACTGGCCTCCTCAACCTCCCGCCTGACTGATAATAATAAAGGATGGCATCAAAGCTGGGGCGGTTCCTATCAAAGAAATATTCATTCCTCAGGGGGTCGAAGTAACGCATCCTCTTTTTGGGATCTCCAAGCAACGTCTCTGGGAACTGGGAGAGAGTTTTGAGCTGCGTCTCGAAGCGCAGCCCTGAGATATTGATGACCACTCGCTCGCAGCACTCATGATCAGCCTCAGGGTCATAGGTGTCTTGAGGGTGGCCAGGAAGTGCAGCTGCCTCATCTGTGGGGTCCCCAGTGGCTACTGTCATTCTGGAAGGAGAGAAGGCCTGCACGTCTCAGTGGAGCTGAGGTTGTTTTGTGTGTGAGAAGTAAGGGCAATGTGATGAGCCCTGTTTATTATTTTGGTGGTTGAGGACCACAGGGCCACAGCCTGGTGCACCTTGAAACAACAAAAAAAAAAACAACAAAGTAAAATTATTTGTTTAATGAGTTGGAATGTTTTAAATAAGAGCTTCATTTATATTTTGATTTCAAAGATATCAAGTCCAAATATGTATTTTCAAGGAGAGTTTTATTGGAAGTATTCTTAAACCCATTTAAGTTAGACATTTATGCATACTTTTATGTGACAGAGAAAGTACCTTAGAGAGGTTCTCAGCAAGATGCCCTTTTGAGAAATGTCAGGCCTTGTTCTCATGATATAAGTGATACTTCTAGCATTCTTAATCTACATTTCAGTGTGCCTAATCAAAATGAACTAAACACTTAATTTTTAATTATATATACTGCAGAACACATAATGTCTTCATTGGAGCCTCAGAGATAATCTCAAGAATTTAATGAGAAGTATGCAGAAGAGAGGGAAGAGAGGCAAGAAATGCTCAATTATAAATGCCCCAGAATATGTACAGTTAATAAAGGTACTGAGAAACAGACACAGAAAAATATGCACAAGTGTATCACAAGTTCATACAGTATAATAACCTGCACCAGTTCTGTGGCAGTGTCAGCAGTTTTATAAATAGGAGGAGGTTGGCTATTTGTGGAAAATACAATCAAACACACATACAGTAATAAATTATTGTCAAGAAGACACCTGTGTTCTGAAACTAGGACTCAGTTTATCACTGTGTGATAATTTTGTGGTGCAGTCATGCTCAGTGAACTCACCTCTGCACAAGCCATTAAAATGCACATTACCAAGTACAGTCACACACATCCATACACACACACATTGATCACGTCAAGACATACTGTAAACATTTGAGATAATTTTTCAGTTTTTGAAAAGCTTGTTGAATCTTAGTTAATGCTATGTTATTAGTTATTTGACATGTGTGAGATTAACCTATAATAATAACAACTTAATCAACTTATTTTATGAAGATGTTAAATTCTGAAGTTTATTAAAATGATTGTACATGTCTGGGTCTGCCAAAAAAAAATTAAAATGCAAACAGGTTTGACATTCAATAAATATGCCCAATTAATGATTGTTATTACAATTATATTTTTAATCAATACCATGTATTTAAAGCATTTGATTACAATCACATTGGGTCGTTTTTAAGTATCAGACATTTCACTAGATTTATTTTATTTGATGACTATTATAAAACTTTACAACTTTAAATATCCTGCTTCACTGTTAAAAAAACCCTCAATATATTAAAGGATTTTACCAGCATTAAATTCATTGTATCCTTCTCAAATATAGCTCCTGTATTTTCCTTTGGCTACAGTAGTTCAACAGTAACAAAAAATGTAATTGTCATTCCTCTCACATTTAACTTGAATAAATCAAAGTTTAACCTCTTAATAAATAATCTTCCGTTTTATATTAACTAATCTGTCAGTAATATACTGTATATATATATAGAGGTTTAGGCTTTTCTAAGAGTGAATACAAATTCTAATGCAATGTTTAAACAAATTTGTTGTTAAATAGCCAACCGTGAAAAGCTAAGCTCACCTGCTATTATGCGTCGCCTCCAGCACGTATAAGCCAATGATGTGGGTTTCAGGTCTCGGGGGACGCCTGCTTACTCTCAAAAAAACCCAGTGCCAGTAATAAACCTCCAATATTTTGGACCTTAGTCTCAAATCCCACGGTCCACAGTCTTTCCAGGTCCTGACAATCATTCAGGTACTGCTATGCAGTACCACAAACTCCCCTGCATCCGCCGAGATAACTGGTGTCGGGGAGATGCGGGAGGGTCTGCGCCTCAGCCCGCCGGGTTCTCCGTTTGAACAATAGCTCGAAGCCCGAGAAGCAGAAGGCGATAGGAACGGGGATACCGATCTTGGAGGAGGATAGCGCTTTATCTCTTCAATTATGCTTCCTCTATAATGGTCCAAAGATGCTAAGATCAGCAAAATTTGACGTCCCCAGTGTCCTTAGGAGATATGACGTTGCCTGCAACAAACAGCAGCAAAGGTAGTCCTGATACACTACACAGAAGCAACATCTGCAAAAACACAAGGAAGGGAGGTTGCGGGGAGGCGTTGCTTTTATGTAATTGTATCTATACAGTCTCTTTTACATGATCGGAATTGGACCTTCAGATCTTAAATCATTCAGCATGTTACATTTTTGGAGGTTAAACATTTTGTATTCCACCTGCAAGAATTTTAATTCGTGGGCTGGGAACAGTGAAGGAAACTGGTATTTATGGCTGGCATTTTTTGCACCTTATTCATTGCATCAAACAGATGGAAGACTCCACCACTACAGTTGTACATTCTGACAGCGTAACAAATTGGAGCTATCGTTTTTAAAAAAGCCATGTTCCGGGCACCAACGCGTCCCTCAAAGGTTTTTTCAATTACCACAAAGACCACGTTTGTGATAATTTGACATTTTCGCACCCACGTGCATGCATCCTGGCTAGTCCCCTAGAATAAATGTTACTAATTTTGTTCGTGCACTATTTTTTCCTTATGCAAGCGTTGCAGATGCCATTAGCTGATCTACAGTAGATAAACTGCGAAAAGAGGTGTCTACCGTGGCATGCTCAAGCCATGGTTAATTGTTCTGGAAAACTGGGAACATAATCTATGGTACAGATAACAGTAAATCCATGCAATGTCACATAAGCGTATTAAATATGATTGATATTTTAAGCATTTAACTAAATGGCATGCATAAACAAAAAAATCACCCTTGTAAGCCAGTATACAAGATGCAGATCTTCAGACTCAATCTCCACATCAAAACAGGTTATCTTTTGGATGCAGGCGTCTCCGTGCCCTTTTTTTCCTCGTTAATTTGAAAAAAAAAAAGGTGCAGCATATGTTTGCGATTTGCGCTCAGGCTTAGGATTTCATTCCTTGCTTTTCACCCCTAGAAATTGCAATAAGAATTACGGCTTAGAGAGAAGTCTGCAGTTAGGTATTGATATGCATACAAAGAGAGTGCGGAACGGGAGAACGAGCGAGCTCCTCTCTGCGCTGTACCACTCCTTACCCCTCTACAGCGTGGGCAATTTAAAGGGAACGCGTCCTGGTGATGTTCTTCACATAAAAAAAACGTGGAATATAATTTTCTTACAGTGAAGTGGGAGAAATATGACATACGCCAAAGCTGCACGAAATTAAAACATTGCTTATTTTTGGGGAGTTTGGTTAAATAAGAGAAGATAGGACAGTGTGGAAACTACACGCAAACACATGAAATTCTGCAACTGATCCCAGTTCATGGTTAATATGATGCCAACCTGAGTGTGCAGGTCAAGCAGTGAGCCGTATAAAGCACCCCCACAATGCCTCCTTAATTAACACCACCTGGGGCAAGACAAGAGTATAATTCTATTTCAATTGTGGGTTTAATTTAGAAACGTCATTCCAACTTTGCTAGACAGCATCATTTTTCAAATGTTGACTCTGATTATTTAAAAATCTATTTTAAAGAGAGGTGGTTTTGTATGGAGCAATTACAACTAATTGTGAAAAGGAATAACAAGCATGCTAGCGTGATTCTTGCAAATACATTTCTGCACACAGTTTGCTCTGTACACTCTGAAACTAATTGCAAGTTGCTAATGCATCTCTAAAAGCTCAGTAGTGTTCTGAGGTGGAGGATCGCATTAATACACTAAGGAAGTTTTGTAGACAGAATAAATCGGACACCACTTTTGGTTCCAGTCATCAGTAGGGAGCCAGTATGCTGTATATTGTCATTAAATCTATAAGGATGTAATTCTCGGCTGGAAGAAATATATGTAGCTCACTTGACAAGTCCATTAATTTCCTTAAAAGATCTGTCATTTATGGTTCATATACAATTATGTAGAACTCTATATGACTTATCCACACTTCCATTAGTGTCAACGTTTAATATTGCTTATGAAACCAGATGTACTGTTTATGCTTGCGAATATATTAATTGCAAATTAATATTTACAGTATATGCACTGTATTTGCAGGAACAAACATTTGCCAGAAGGTTGGAACACCATTTGGATTATGTTAAAAAATGTTAGTCTTTCCCATAAGGATTAATAAAAAAAGTTTGGCTGCACATCACAGTTTAAAAACCCATTATCTCAGAGTCTTTCAGAAGTAAAAGCCCCAACCAATTAATGCTCCTGACAGTTTAAGGTGTGGCAATGAGTGTAAGGCACCAGCAGACATGAAATGGATTACATGGCTCAAAGCCAAAGTTGCTGGCAAAGGTTCAAGGACCATCTTAAGACACTAATAATAATAGAAAAATAGTGTGAACACAATTGTTCTTCTCCGTCTTCTATTACTACAGTAAGAGCAATTACAATAATGATAACAATGGGGGCAGCATTGTGGTATGATAGGTTTTGAGTTCGATTCCAGATGGAGGCACTGTTTGTCCCAGATCTGTATGGAGTTTGCATGTTTCCCCTATGTCCGCATGGGTTCTCCAGCTGCCTCAGTTAACTGGTATCTCTAAATTGTCCCAGTCTGCGTGCCATGACATGGACTTGCAAAGCCCTACAGTTATAGCACTTACTTAAGCATTGTCTTCTCAGTGTTTTTATGACGATAAATGGAAGTTATAAAATACAGAAGATTTAAAAAATAATATAACACAGACCAGCAGTAATCTCTTTTAAAAAGAAAAACCTTCTCGCTTCCAAATTTACTTTAACTGCTACTACAATCCTCTGTGGCACCATCTCTGTGACCAAAGCACTTTCTCCAACTAGAAACCCACTGCTCCTCTTACCAGCAGTGAACCAGGAAAGGCTACACCCTGAACACAGGTGTTTTCAAGCTTACCTGATTGCTCAGTTAATCAGTTAGTTATCTGCAGAAGGAACAGGGATGGGGAGGGCTCACAATGAAGTGTACACAATACAATAAGTAAGGTGAGAATGACAAATAAAAAACGTGAAATTTAATAACAGGTTGAAGGCTACTAAAAGTTTTTAAATGACAATGTTTTATGTAACCTATTAAGGAAGGAGAAAAGAAAGGTTGTTTTATGCATAAAATGGAAGTCAGGGTCTTCCAAGTGGGCTTACCTTTAAGTGAGGTTGGGCTCTTTGATCCACAAGTCATGACTGCTACTGGATAACATCACTATCCAACTTTGACCAAGACTCTCAAAGTAGCAGTATACTATTGACTTGTGTCATCACTAGTAGGACTGGAATTAGTCAGCCAGGGCTCATACAGCTTCTGGTGAAGCAGAGACCTCAGCATCTGAAGGCATGTGATAACGTCAGTGTAAGCATCTCATTAATATCTCCTCCAATAGAAACTGAACCTTGCAGGAGAGTAGAGCTTGCAGTGTGTCAAATAACAGCAGAAATGTCCTGTTTTCTAAGGGGAGTCAAACTCAAAAAAGGATATATTTATATGAACTCTACCTTTTTATGTGCTTCTCTGATGGAACTAAACTGTCAACTGACATCTTCAAAAATAAAGATAAAATAATAGACCAATAATCTCTTTTTTTAAAATACTGTACCTGACATAGATATTGTACCTGACATAGATATCTCCTGTTCATGTTTATTTCTGCTATACTGATATGCTGAAGACCATAATAATCCTGATAAATCTAAACAATGCTTTTTAAAAGGGTATAAACAATCTCAATTTAAACAGCATGATGACATTTCCTTCACAGTCAGTGAAAGGAATACTGTATATAAATATGGTAAAACACTTCATATGATTGAGGAACATTGGCACAAAGCAATAGACGTTGAATAAAATAACCATCAGCACTTTCACTCAGAATACAATACAGACTAATTGAATTTCAAATATGAAGGCCATCACTGCCAGTTCAGGGATAAAAGAACCGATAACTTGAGAAAAAAATGGGAAGAAAGCTATTTTATTTTGTGTTAAAGCACAAACATAAACACACAAACCTTCAGCAAAAAAAAAAGTTTAAAATAAAAATCGATTTCCTAAATCTTAAATAAGTTCTTTTTTGGCTTCTGTAGCCTTGTCAGCTTTATAACTGTGTTAAAATTGACTCAGTTGTGTTGTAGATTGCTGTAAGAATAACTGTCTAAGTGAAAGACAGAGAACTCAATTTCTCTGCTTAGCTATCAGAATAAGCATACATAAATAAACTAATAGAGCCTAGTGAGAATTAGTATGGCTGCAAAATTAAAAAGTACTCGAACTGACAGAATATGTCTTCAGTAATGCAAAGCATTCTGTCAAAACTACAAAAAGTGACTTGTAATGTGCTCAAGTATCGATAGAACAATTTTAAGGCTTTATCTTAGGGAAATTTAAAACATAGCTCCACTTTCCACCCGCATACCCAAGACATTTTATACTTAATTGGCTTCTGGGAAAACTGTCTGTAACTTCTTCATAGGCAGGGTAGATCTAAGCAAGCTGTTTGACAACATAACAGGGATGATACTTTGTCAAGTCATAAAATTTTCCTGTAAGTATACAGTACTGGATGTCCATATACAGTACATTCTTTAGAAGAATGTAGTTAAAGGTTGGTTTAGTAGGGGTGGCATAGCATAGTGGTAAACCTCTGACCTCACAGGTGTGAGGCTGGGGGTCCAGGACCATGCTGGAGGAACTGCTGCTACACCTTTGACCCAGGTACTCAACCCCAGCTGATTCAGCCCATTCAGGAGTATAGATTAGGAACCTCACAGGTTTTGCAGGGGGTAATACTTGTGATGACTGGCATCAAATTACAGGTAACAGATAAGTTGGAACCAATAACATTTGATATTTTTTACAATAAAGTCCAAAAAACAAGAAAGATAAGGGGGTCATTTACTTCCATGGCCCTAGTAGCAGAATGCTGCCACAGCACGATGCTCAAGAACAGATGCAGTTTGTGTTATGGCGTGACAAGCACTGTAGCAAGTCACACAAGGCTTGTGGGAGGGGAAGAGGGGAATAAAAAACATATATTTTTTTTAATGGAGACATTAATGGTTGAAGCAATCATATTGATAGTCGTGGCCTTATTTTATATCGGAAAAAACACACAAGAAAATGTACAACTGTACAACAAAGTGCTTGCCAATTCATAAGTAGATTTGAAAAGCTCTTTCCAGCAGGTTCTGCACCTTAAAAAGCTGCATTTTCTCCAGCTTTCACTCTACAATCATACTGTCTCCTAATGGTTTTCCCAGGCTTCCCCTGATGGCCCATTCATTATTTATGAGAGCATTCCATTATAAAGACTGCATTAACTGTGAGCCTTCATTGCTAGAAATGACAGTTGATATTCACTTCACATTAGCTTTCCTTGTTTAATTAAAACTGCAGTGTGCCCTTTTCCTTTATCAGCCTTTGGTTTAATCTCATAAGGAACAAAACAGTGTAACCAGGCAGTTTCACACAGCTCCTAGCCATGGCTCTTGATTGTTTTTTTTAATTGCTATGAGAGACACAGGTAACACAAAGAAGAACTGAAAAACTGTATAAATGTTACTGGAATTAATACAATTCTTTTTCTTTGACCTTCAAAAAATTAACACATCCTTGGACTCAAAACCATATTAATTCCTCTCCATCAAAATCAGCCAACTATTCTAATCACTCCAAGCCCACTGTGAGATGTAATAGATCAAAAGGATTGTTGCAACATTTACCTGGAGTCGATGTCTTAGTAAAAGTTTGAGGTAGGGTTAGACAGGGTAGTGAGAATCTCATATTGTGTGTATGGGTCTCAGGTTGCAGACATTCCTGAATGAGCTGTCAGAACTAGGGTGAAGCCAACTCTCATAAAGAATAAACACGTGTAACTACAGTATATAGCATGATAGAAGTAACTGAAACATTGCTATGGAACATTAGCAGGGATAAATATACTGTAAAATAAATCAGTATATTTTTTACAGGAGAAGCAGGCTAAAAGAGATCATAGGGTAAGATTGCATTAAAAAAAACCTGCAAGTTAAAAACTAAACAAAAGAGTATTGGTAGTTTTGGAGCTATATGGTTTAAATTGTAAAATTGAAGTTCT